GATGGCTCAGCAGGAATCAGATAGGCCACAAACGTACGCTGGTATAACATTATTTTTGAAAATATTGCTCTAGAAACTAAAAGTTTTAAATTACCTCTTTCGCAGTGTCTTCCTGTATATGCTTCCGTACAGCGACACTTGTAACTGTTTGTCCGATACAGAGGTACACAGGTCCCTTTGTTCTGACAGGGCGACATCGAGCATGGAGACTAAGATCGAGAAAATCAAGTACTCACTTCCTTGATAAAAACCAGTAGTAGTAGTAGCAGTACTACTTTATTTAGACACAATTCACCATTGAGTCTGGGGCTCATTTAAATGTGAGCGTGTATGGTAAAATTAAAATGTAAAATTTAAATATGTTATCTATTCGATAAAAATACAAAAACTAGACCATAAAATTTAAAAACTAGACTATACAAACTGAAAGATGTTAATTACTCGATACAAAGATTACAGCAACAATTGGCCTTGGTACTCAGGTTAAAATTGATCAGTAAATTTTTAAACTTCTAAGAGAGGACGCTCCTCTTATATTGTCAGGTAGGTTGTTCCATGAATATGAAGTTATGTAACGATAAGATTTCTACAAATGCTTTGATTTAAAAGTAGACTGATTTAGCTTACAGTAACCTCTTAGGTCATAATTGCTAGAACGCAATGAGAACAATTCCTTGATGTAGTTTGGCCCCGTATTAGATGAAGATTTATGAAGAAGGATTAGGGCTTGCGTGTATCTGCGATGTTCCAGGGACTTGATGTCTACTATCTTAAGTAGATCGCCAAATGGATTTGACTTGAGCAGATTCATCAGTGTTCTGATAGTAAACTGATTGGTAAATTCTAGCTTGTTAGAAAGTCCAGATGAAAGTCCCACTAAACCAGGTTACAAACTTTGATGACGGGTTGATAAAATGACTTAAAAATGGCTTGCGACGAACACAAAATTAAAGAAAAAGCCACAGAGAGACGCATTTTAACGTTCAGTTAACAGTTCAATATAACTTGTTCAAACGACTTCGACTGCCGGTTTCGGTTATCATCAAGATAAAACTTTAAAAAATGTGATGATAAAGATAAAACGATAGAAAAAGAGTTTTACCGTAATACTGTAGTGATACCAAGAATGGTTGGTAATGAACTTGTCTGAATGGGTGTAACGATCCGATGGAAGCAGTTCACATAGCAGATTTTCGATGTTTTCAGCCAAATCTGCCAGGTTGAAGGACAAACATGGATCCTTACAGAGACATTTAAATGCGCACTCTAAGGAGTGTTGGACCAGTTCTTTCCCAAACATATGTAATGTTCAAATAGGAGCCTTTGTGAGCAAGAAAATTGGCGAAAGCAATCCCATTATGTGGTGATTGTCCTGTGTTTGATAAAGAAATGAAGATAACCGATCAAAATGGTTTTGCTTATACTTATTTATGAGATAGATAGCAAAAAAAACGCGGGTATCACTGCGACCGAAGAAAGATGATACCTTTTGAGGTCTGCAAAGAGCTCGCTGATACAATCAGAGCAAGGAAACAGAAAGATAACAAGAAAAATTGCATCTTATTCTTCTAGCTCACAGAGAAATAATTTTCGTGCTGATACACGGTTTGCAAACATCTGCTCCAATTAATATTACAATTTCTCTTCATCCATAATTTATTTGTTTTTCCTTTTAGGTGTTTGACTACATTTTTTTTTCAGAAATGATTATTTTTGTTGAGAGAGAAGGCGTAACACTTTGTTGCGATAGCCAAAGATTTGTGTTTTGAAGACTTCTGTTAGAACCTAAAAAACGGACAGATAAAGTAAAATTTTACGGCGGTCTAATGCGATTAAAAAAATCGTATATGTCGTTACAAAAATCTTCCATGAAGGAAATTACCGTTTTGGGCAACAAGATGAGTAACTAGGTGAGTGGTCTTTGTTAAAATCTTGCCACAGGGGTTAAGTTTGTCTTCCTTTATAATGTTTTTTTCTTTGGCGTCACAAGGTTATTTATCTTACTTTTTAGTTTCTTTGCTTTACATAAATTAGGGAGAAAATTAAAAGAATGACAGAGAAGAGCTTCAGAGATTAAAATCAACTCGTCTGAATTCTGCTTCCAAGGAAAGTTTTAAGAAATGTTAATTAATGTGTGTTAATGGCGGTTATATTAAGTGTTGTGGGGTTTTACCAACGTGAAATCAAGCTCGGTCTTAGAGCACAAACCCCAACGGAAAACTATTTAAGTTCCTTCTGGAATCAAACGCTGCTCACAAACGTCATGCAGAAGTTGAGGTGTGGCATCGTAGGAGACGACAAACACATAGAGCCGTTCGCGAAATTCTAGCTAAGTTTGAATCGAATTCCAATCCTCTTCTGCGTTGCCATTAGAACGAAAGACTCTTATTAGGTCTTACTTTTGCATGTAAAACCCGTGTTTTCCCCTAGCACAATTATAAACAGCTCTGTTTTTCTGTTTTTATTATTTTTTTTATTTTTACGTGAAGCTATTAGTTATACTAAGAAGACTTGCATCACGTTCTAATCTCAAGGTTGTGCAGTCCTTGTATGTTGCAGTTTAAAATTAAGTCAATGTGTTGTGGAAATGGTAAATTGGTCAGAAGTTCGTTTCAGACTAATGACCAATCAGGCACTTTTAAATGCGCTCGTGCACGATGCAAAACGTTGCCTAGAAAATATCGGGACCCAAACGACCCATTAAGATCACCGATCACTTCACGTGCACCTCCG